AGCATTGGTATTATTTGTTTCTAATGATCTAAATGATTTACAAATTCTGTCTTGGCTGTTGGCTTTTGACTACATGTTTTGGATGGTCTTTGGGAACTGTAACTATAATCCTGGAGCTTCCCCTACTTAAAAACAATTCTGTATAACTAGTGCCATTAAATTATCATCAGTCTCTATGAGGCACTAAAATGAAGCAGGATGAACTCATTTATCTATGTGTTTGATCTGTTTGTTAGATGACAAATTTAAAGCACTAAAAACCACTTGGTAATCTGGGTTAGCAAAGTGGAATGAATCTTCTAGAACCCTTAGTTCCTCTATTTCAATTTTCTAGGCTTGGCCTAAGAATGATCAAGTCTATGAACATTTTCCTGGATATATACCTCCCCTCCTAGGAATGAATTGTTTTGGGCCCAGATAATATATACTTTTGATAATTTCACTTATTTGTACCTTGATTTTCCCTTGGAGCCCTAGCTTGCTTTTCTCTTTCTCTGAAGCAGAATTGTTCCTCACAGGATCCATAATCATGCCAACTTCTCTGAACTGACTATATTGTACTGGATTCCCTGAAGTAGGTTCAAACTACAGGGCTGGTATCAGATACGTTTTTCTATTCAGACTTGCATTTAAATCTTTAATCCCTCTTGAGTTGATTCTTGTATATGGTATAAGGAAGGGGTCCAGCAGCAATAATCTGCATATGGCTGGCCAGTTATCCCAGCACCATTTATTGAATATTGGTCCTTTCCCTATTGCTTGTTATTGCTGACTTTATTGAAGATCATGTATCTCCACTTTTGTAGGTTACATATGAGAGATTATATAGTATTTGTCTTTCTGTGCCTGGCTTATAACATAATGCCATTCAGATTCATCCATACTGTTGCAAGTGATGGGATTTTAAGAATAGTATCGCATTGTGTATACATACCACCTTATCCACTCATCTGTTGATGGCCATTTAGGTTGATTCCATATCTTGGGTATAGTGAGTAATGCTGCAATGAACATGTGAGTACAGACCTATTTTCAACATGGGGTTTTCATTTCCTATGGATATCCATCAATAAGAAGGTTTAGTGATGGATATCTCATATGATATCCATATGAGAGTCATACTTTTAATTTAAGGAACTTCCATGCTTTTCCCCATAATGACTGCACTAATCTACATTCCCACCAACAGTGTGCAAATGTTTCTTTTTCTCTGCATCCTCATCAGCACTTGTTTTTTTTGTTCAGGACTGCTTTGGCTATTCACAACTTTTGTGGTTCCATATAAAATTTAGGATTTTCCCCCTCTATTCATGAGGAAAACATCACTGGAATTTTAATAGGGATTGCATTGAATTTGTAGATTGATTTACTTAGTATGGGCACTTAAAAATATTCTTCTAATCCATAAACTTGGGATATCTTCTTACTTGTTTGTATTTTCAACTCCTTTCAGTGTTTTATAGTTTTCAGTGTACAGGTCTTTAACTCCGTGGTTAAATGTATTTCTACATTTTATTTTTTGTAGCTATCGAGAATGGAATTGTCGTCTTATTTTCAGATATTTCATTGTTAGTGTATAGAAACACTTGATTTTTATGTGTTGATTTTATCTATGACTTTTCTAAATTTATTAGTTCCAACAGTTTTTTGTGTGTGGAATATTTAGTTTTCTGTATGCAAGATTATTTCATCTGTAAACAGGGACAGTTTAACTTCTTTCTGATTTGGAGGTCTTATTTTTTCTCTTGCCTAATTGCTCTAAGACTTCAGCACCATGTTGAACACAATTGGTGACAGTGGGAACCCTCGTCTTGTTTCTGATTTTAGAGGAAAATCTTTCAACTTTTCATTTTGAGTGTGTTGTTAGCTGTGAGCTTATCATATACAGTCTTTGTTGTGTTAAGGTACAATTTTTTTTTTTTTTTTTTTTTTTTTTTTAAATATAGGATCTCACTCTGTCACCAGGCTGGAGTGCAGTGGTATGATCATGGCTCACTGCAGCCTCAAAATTCCAGAGCCCAAATGACCCTCCCACCTTCAGCCTCCCAAGTAGTTGTTACTACAGGCCCACACCACCACGCCCAGCTATTTTTTGTATTTTTAGTAGAGATGAGGTTTCACCATGTTGCCCAGGCTAGTCTCCGACTGCGGGCTCAAGTGATCCACCCTCTTTGTCCTCTCAAAGTTCTGGGATTACAGCCATGAACCACTGTACCTGGCTGAGGTACAACATTCCATACTTAATTTGATAGTTTTTTTTTTAAGTAATTAAAGGATGTTGAATTTTGTCAATTTTTTTTCTGCATTTAATAAGATAATCATAAGATTTGTCCTTTATACTGTTACCATTGTGTATCACATTTAAAAACTTGCATTTACTTACCCATCCTCACATCATTGGGGTAAATCCCACTCGATCATGGTTAAATGATTCTTTAATGTGCTGTTGAATTTTGTGCTAGTATTTTGTTGAGGATTTTTGCATCTATAGTCATCAGAAATAAATTGGTCTATAGTTTTCATTTCTTATATCTTGTCTGGCTTTGGTATCAGGGAAATGCTGACCTTGTAAAATGAGTTTGGAAGTATTTCTTGTTTGATTTTTTTGAAGTGTGATAAGGACTGGTATTATTTCCTTAAATGGTAGAATTACACAATGAAGCCATCAGCTCGAGTTTTTCTTGGGTGGAAGATTTTAAATTATTGATTCATTTCATTACTTATTCATCTGCTCATATTTTAAATTTCATCATGATTTAGTTTTTGATTATGTTTAGATTTTGTATATGTTTATATGTTTAGATTCCTAAACTTATAACCTAAGTTATCCAATTTGTTGGCATATAATTATTCATAGTGGTCTCTAGTGATCCTTCATATTTATATGTATCAGTTACAATGTTTTCCATTTCTGATTTTGAGCATTCTTTCTTAGGTTTGTATAGATTTCTTGGCCTTTCTAAAGGTTTATATTGTTTGTCTTTAACAACCCAGTTTAATTTATATTTTCTATCATTTTTCTAGTCTCATTTCTGCTCATGCCTTTTTTTTTTTTCCTGTACTAATTTGGGGCTTAGTTTCTTTTTCTATTTTCTTGAGGTGTAACAATTAGGCCATTTGTTTGGGATCTTTTTTTGATGCTGGCACTTATTGTTGTAACAATAAGGCACTTATTCCTTCTTAGATTGCGTCTGCTGCATCCCATACGTTTTGGTGTGTTGTGCTTCCATTTTATCTCAATCTTTAATTTCCCCTCTAATTTATTTGACCCTTTGATTTTTCAGGAAAATATTTAAGTTTCCATATGTTGGTAAGTTTTCAAAAATTCTTCCAGTTATTGCTTTTTAGTTTCATACTATTGTGGTCTAAAAAGATACTTGATATGATTTTGATTTTTTTAAATTTGTTAAGCCTTGTTTTGTGGATTAACATGATCCATCCTCGAGAATGTTTTTTGTGTACTTGAGAATATGTATGCTGCTATTCTTGGATTAAATGTTCTGCATATGGTTATCAGGTTCATTTGGTCTAGAGTTCTCTCTAGATTATTTGCACATTGCTGAAAGTGGGGGTATTGACGTCCCCTAGTAATTGTATTATACATTCTTTGTCTATTAATATTACCTTTATATATTCAGGTGGCCTGATGTTGGCTACACAGATATACTTACAATTGTTATATCTTCTTGATGAATTGACCCCTTTATCAACATATATTATCATTTTACAGTTTTTGACTTAAATTCTGTTTTACCTAAGTATTACCCCTGCTCTATTTTTGGTTCCCATTTGCGTGGAATATATTTTACCATCTTTACCGTTGGGGTGTGTGTTTTCACAGGTGAAGTGAGTCTCATAGGCAGCATACAGTTGAGTCTTTTTTAATCTATTAAGCCACTCTGTCTTTTGATTAGGCAATTTAATTCATTTACATCCAAGGTAATTATTGATAAGTAAGGCCTTAGTATTGCCATTTTGCTAATTGTTTCGTATTTTTTTTTAGAGCCTTCGTTTCTATCTTGTTATCTTCCTTTGAAAATTTCTGTAGTGGTATGTTTTGATTCTTTAATTTTTATCTTGTGTATTTACTATAGGTTTTTGCTTTGACATTTACAGGAAGCCTACAGACAACATTGTAATAGGCTATTTTAAGCTGATAAATTTGATTAAACATTTCTATGCTTTACTCAACCTCACCCACATTTTATGTTTCTGATGTCACAACTTACACCTTTTATATTGTCTGTCCCTTAATGATTACTGTAGCTATTTTCAGTTTTGTCTTTTAACCTTCATACTAAAGATGGAAGTAACTTACATATTACTATATATCACCATTAGAGTATCAGAGTATTCTGAATCTTGGCATATACTTAAAAACAAACAAACAAACAAGAAAAAACTGTGAGTTTTATACTGTCAGCTATTTTCATGTTACAAATTAGCTCCCTTTTCTTTCAGCTTCAATTTTTCCTTTAGTATTTATTGTAAAACAGGTCAGGTGTTGATGCATTCCCTCATCTCCTGGCTGTCTGGGAAAGTCTGTCTCTCTTCATTTCCAAAGGACAACTCACTGGGTAAATGCTGCTTCATTAGCTTTTTTCCCCTTCAGTCCTTTGAGTATGTTGTCTGGCCTATAATGTGTCTGTTGAGAAATCCACTATCAGACTTATAGAACTCCCTGATAGGTGACTTTTCTCTTTCTGTTTTCTCCTTGTCTTTGATTATGGTATGCCTCAATGTCTTGTTTAGATTGAGTCTTATTTCTAAAACCTTTTACCTTCTTGTACCTGGATATTTATATATTTTCCCAGATTGGAAAGTTTTTACCTATTTTTTAAATTAAGCTTTCTGTCCTTTTCTCCTCTTGTTCTGCCTAAACTTCTATAATTCAAGAATTCGCTCTCTTGATATTATCCCATAAATTCCATAGGCTTCTTACTTTTTTCTCCTTTGTTTTCTTTTTTCTTTTTTTTCAGATAAAAAGTTGAGTTTATTAGGGAAATATGAGAGGCATAGACACTCCCAAGTGACAGAAAGAAAAGTCTAAAAATGTCCCTTCAAGCCAAGTGGGGGCCTGGCCTTGACCTCCCCAAATCAACAAGAAACTGGTGGGTCTGCAACAACATTCTCTGGCAGGCACATTGCCAGGGCATGAGTGTCTTGGCCAGGACTGCCCCCCACTTCCCACCAAAGGTGGTGAGGAGATAAAGACTGTTCACAGAAGCAGTGTAAAGGCAATGAGAACTTTAAGGAAAGTTTGAGAGAGAGAGAGAAAGAAAGATAGAGGCGGGGAGGACCTTCACAAAGAGTCCCAGGGTTTTGGCTGTGAATGTCTCAAATACCTTGACAAGTAGATCTATAAAATGTTACTGAAAAAGTAAAATGCCTAATGTCGTTTCCAACAGTTCCTCTGGACTTCTCCCCACATAACACACCACAGCCCAGATGGCAGAGCCCAAAGGCCACACTTTTGAAAAAAGAAAAACAAGAATAAGCCCTGTTGCTCTTTAAGGAGAAAGGAAGGAGCTGAAGGCTACTGGGGCCTTTCCCATGTGGCCTGTGTTGTATAAAGCAACTTCCCAGCAGCAGCAGGTCACTGTTCTAGGTGAGTGTCTCACCTTTTGTCACCCATGCTTCAATGTACTCTATTCTCCGTTCAAGGGCTGTCAATTTCTCGTTTAGTGTTGCAAGTCTTGAACGACAAGACATATTGAACGAGTTGAGAAAGTCCGCGATTTTCTTGATGTTGCTGGTGATTATCTCAATGTACTCCCGGTTAGGCCAGTCCTGGTGAATCTCTTGCTGCACTGGATCCTCCTGTCCCGCCATGGCGGCCACCTGAGGAAGAGCGACTGCTCTTTGTTTTCAAATTTTCCTCTGCTTGATCAATTCTGCTGTTGATTCTATTTGATGTTTTTTCATTTCTGTTGTATTGCTTAGCTCCAGAATTTAAAAAATTTCATCTGTTATATTTGTCTTCCTAGTTTTTTTTTTTTTAATTATTTCTCTGTATTTTCTTGAGTCTAAGATTTTTAAAAACAATTATTTTGAATTTTTTATCAAGTAGTTGATAGATCTCCATTTTTGGGGGTCGGCTACTAGGAAGTCATGTTCTTTTTATGGTGATGGCTTAGCATTTCAAGTTTCTTACTGTGTTACATTGTCTTTTCATTTGGTGGACTAGTCATCTCTTCCAGACTTTTTGGACTGGTTTTGGTGGGGAAAGACTTTCCCCTAAAAAGAGGGGTGAAAGCATTGGCTGGGTGGGGTTCAGTGGTTTTGGCACTGGAGATGGCACATCGGTATAGTCTCCATGAAGCTCTGTCTGCTGAGATCATGGTAACTAAAATTGCAGGGATCCTCAGCGGCCAACCCTGGGGATGTCTGAAGAAGCAATGAGGGCTGTTGGGGTCTATTGTGGCAATGACTGCTAGAGTCCTTCAAATCCTTTTCTCCCCTCAGGGAAGTTGTTGCTGAGGGGATCCCTCTTGGCATTGGGTCCAACTTGCAGGCCTGCTTGAGTTGACAGTGGCACCCATGTCTGATGAGTAGTGCTCATGGAGGCTTGAAGTAAGGCATGCATAGAATGACTATGGCTTTGAGCCTGGCGTGGTAATGGCACCAGGACCTGGGGTTCAGACACTCATACTGTTAAATTTGTAATGGTATGTGAAGTGTGGGTGCTTATGAAGCAGTCATGGATGGGAGCACAGTTGTACATAAAGCTACAATGGATCTGGGGTTTAGCTCTCTATGGGCACATGCTGAGATGTTAGCTCTGGGTGCAAATTGCTCTGGTGTCTGAGGCATGGGCCTACATTGTGCAGCCTTGGATCTAGGATGGGAGCACAGGCTAGCTACCTTAGTGGCAGCTGAGCTGGTGTCTCAAGTGTTGGCATGCACAGAGAGACTTTGGCTTCAGGGTCTGGGTGTGAATTAGCTTGCTATGGTGATGGATCTGGTGTCAGAGGCATGGGTAGGCACAATGCAGCCACAGAGCCAAGATCTGGAATGTGGACACTTGTGGAGTGGCCATGGCTTGGAACATGCCGTATTGGGAGAGGTGGCAGCTCTAGTCCTGGAGAGGCACAACAGCAGCTGCTTTTTGGTGTGTGTGCAGCTGTGTCTCCCTCTCTGGGATTCTCCAGTATGAATGGTCATTGATTGCCTAAGTTGAAGAAGATGCTGGTTTCTTTTTCAGAGCAGACCACACTGGGAACCACAGTGGTACCTGCCCCATGGCTGATACAATCACGCCTGTCTTCTTTGTTTGTAGCCACCTCAGGTATGCCCTTCTCACCAGTGATCCTTTGTGTGGATATTCTCTATTTTTGCTCCACCATGTTGCTGCAGATTCTTAAATTGGCTCTTGAGGCCCCCCCAGGGCTATTTTGATTTGTGGATAGCTCTCTATTTGTGTGGGTAGGTATATGTTGGGAAAGAAGGCTGGCATCTCCTACTGTGCCAGTTATCTTCTACTCTGCCATTGTGATGGCATCCAGTATTATCTTAAGATGTCAATATTTACTATAATCCAGGAATTCTATTACAATTTATTCTAGTTGTAAACTTAAAATGATTTTGAAAAACTATACATCTCTTCATGCACTTAATGAGTTCATGGCAAATGTTGGAGGATCTCTCTAAAGAACATGTTCAGCCTCTGGTGTTTGATCTGAAACTTTCAGAATGGGAAAGATTTAGATGATCCTATTATCAGTCTAGAAATACTTTTAAAAACTCATCACTCCCACTTTAGGATTTTAGTGTTTTCAGTTTCAGTCTTTCTTGAGGTTAAGCAGTAACCAAGGATCTATATTGTATGCAAAACAGTGAAAATATTTGAAAGGAAGCACTAACCATGGAAAGCAATAACTGGTACCAGTCACCGCAAAAACATGCCAAATTGTAAGACCATCAATGCTAGGAGGATCAACTAATGAGCAAAATAACCAGCTAACATCATAATGTCAGGATCAAATTCACACATAACAATAGTAACCTTAAATGTAAATGGGATAAATGCTCCAACTAAAAGACAAAGACTGGCAAATTGGATAAAGAGTAAAGAGCCATCAGTGTGCTGTATTCAGGAGACCCATCTCATGTGCAGAGACACACATAGGCTCAAAATAAAGGGATGGAGGAAGATTTACCAAGCAAATGGAAAGCAAAAAAAGGCAGGGGTTGCAATCCTAGTCTCTGATAAAACAGACTTTAAACCAACAAAGATCAAAAGAGACAAAGAAGGCCATTACATAATGGTAAAGGGATCAATTCAACAGGAAGAGCTAACTATCTTAAATATATATGCACGCAATACAGGAGCACCCAGATTCATAAAGCAAGTCCTTAGAGACTACAAAGAGACTTAGACTCCCACACAATAATAATGGGAGACTTCAACACCCCACTGTCAACATTCGACAGATCAATGAGACAAAGTTAACAAGGATATCCAGGAATTGAACTCAGCTCTGCACCAAGAAGACATAACAGACATCTACAGAACTCTCCACCCCAAATCAACAGAGTATACATTCTTCTCAGCACCACTTTGCACTTATTCCAAAATTGACCACATAGTTGGAAGTAAAGCACTCCTCAGCAAATGTAAAAGAACAGAAATTATAACAAACTGTCTCTCAGACCACAGTGCAATCAAACTAAAACTCAGGATTAAAAAACTCACTCAAAACTGCTTAACTACATGGAAACTGAACAACCTGCTCCTGAATGACTACTGGGTCCATAATGAAATGAAGGCAGAATTAAAGATGTTCTCTGAAACCAATGAGAACAAAGACACAACATACCAGAATCTCTGGAACACATTTAAACCAGTGTGTAGAGGGAAATTTATAGCACTAAATGCCCATAAGAGAAAGCAGGAAAGATCTAAAATTGACACCCTAACATCACAATTAAAAGAACTAGAGAAGCAAGAGCAAACACATTCAAAAGCTAGCAGAAGGCAAGAAATAACTAAGATCAGAGCAGAACTGAAGGAGATAGAGACACAAAAAACCCGTCAAAAAATCAATAAATTCAGGAGCTGGTTTTTTGAAAAGATCAACAAAATTGATAGACCACTAGCAAGACTAATAAGAAAAGAGAGAAGAATCAAATAGTTGGAATAATAAATGATAATAAAGGGGATATCACCACCAACCCCGCAGAAATACAAACTACCATCAGAGAATACTATAGACACCTCTATGGAAATAAACTAGAAAATGGAGAAATTCCTGGACACATATACCCTCCCAAGACTAAACCAGGAAGAAGTTGAATCCCTGAATAGACCAATAACTGGCTCTGAAATTGAGGTAATTAATAGCTTATCAACCAAAAAGAGTCCAGGACCAGATGAATTCACAGCTGAATTCTACCAGAGGTACAAGGAGGAGCTGGTACCATTCCTTCTGAAACTATTCTAATCAACAGAAAAAGAGGAAATCCTCCCTAATTCATTTTATAAGGCCAGCATCATCCTGATACCAAAGCCTGGCAGAGACACAACAACAAAAAAAGAGACTTTCAGACCAATATCCCTGATGAACATCGATGCAAAAATCCTAATAAAATACTGGCAAACTGAATCCAGGAGCACATCAAAAAGCTTATCCACCAAGATCAAGTTGCTTCATCCCTGGGATGCAAGGCTGGTTCGACATATGCAAAGCTATAAACATAATCCAGCATATAAACAGAACCAAAGACAAAAACCACATGATTATCTCAATAGATGCAGAAAAGGCCTTAGACAAAATTCAACAGCCTTTCATGCTAAGAACTCTCAATAAATTAGGTATTGATGGAACGTATCTCAAAATAATAAGAGCTATTTATGACAAACCCACAGCCAATATCATACTGAATGGGCAAAAACTGGAAGCATTCCCTTTGAAAACCAGCATAAGACAAGGATGCCCTCTCTCACCACTCCTATTCAACATAGTGTTGGAAGTTCTGGCCAGGACAGTCGGGAAAGAGAAGGAAATAAAGAGTATTCAAGTAGGGAAAGAGGAAGTCAAATTGTCCCTGTTTGATGATGACATGATTGTATATTTAGAAAACCCCATCGTCTGAGCCCAAAATCTCCTTAAGCTGATAAGCAACTTTAGCAAAGTCTCAGGATACAAAATTAATGTGCAAAAATCACAAGCATTCTTATATACCAATAACAGACAGAGAGCCAAATCATGAGTGAACTCCCATTTACAATTGCTACAAAGAGAATAAAATACCTAGGAATCCAACTTACAAGGGATGTGAAGGACCTCTTCAAGGAGAACTACAAACCACTGCTCAATGAAATAAAAGAGGACACAAACAAATGGAAGGACATTCCATGCTCATGGATAGGAAGAATCAATATCATGAAAATGGTCATACTGCCCAAGGTAATTTATAGATTCAATGCCATCCCCCATCAAGCTACCAATGACTTTCTTCACAGAATTGGAAAAAACTACTTTAAAGTTCATATGGAACCAAAAAAGAACCCGCATTACCAAGTCAATCCTAAGCCAAAAGAACAAAGCTGGAGGCATCACGCTACCTGACTTCAAACTATGCTACAAGGATACAGTAACCAAAACAGAATGGTACTGGTAACAAAACAGAGATATAGACCAATGGAACAGAACAGAGACCTCAGAAATAATACCACACATCTACAGCCATCTGATCTTTGACAAACCTGACAAAAACAAGAAATGGGGAAAGGATTCCCTATTTAATAAATGGTGCTGGGAAAACTGGCTAACCATATGTAGAAAGCTGAAACTGGATCTCTTCCTTACATCTTATACAAAAATTAATTCAAGATGGATTAAAGACTTAAA